TATAGACCCCCTGTCCCACTGGGCTCTTAGAATACTTTCAAGGGTTGCCCCACCTACCGGGCACGATCTTCATTGGGGACAGCGACAGGAGCCCACAGGGCAGACCGGGACCGGGTAAGGGGTGTGGGGAGGGTCACAGGCCCCTCAGAGGCGGTAAGCCTGGCGGCGGCGGCACCAAGGCGGGAGGAGGGCAGGCTGAGTGTGCGGCTGTCAGCAGCAGCCTGTGGGGGAGGGGATGGTGGGCAGGGGGCCCAGGGGATATAAATATCCCAGGAGAGCAAGGAGGGCAAGCAAGGCCCCTCCCTTGTCCAGACTTAGAACATGACGTGTGGAGTGAGGGCACCCCGGCCTGGGCTCACTGCAGTCCCATCTGGTTGGGCGTCACCGCTGACATACACACCCCTACTCCAACCCCAGTGATGCTATAATAAGGAGTCACCTGGCATTGGGATCTACCTTGGAAAGGTTCAAGGGGGTTCAGGCTCATGTCCCCCCGGAAGAGAGTGTGATCCATGCCCTGCCCACCTCCTGAGGTGCTCTTGAGAGCCAACATATGGCTGGGGGCGCCATTCCCTTCCCCTGGGCAAGTCGTTCAACACAACACCTGGCCACAGGATGGACAGGACAGCCTCCCCAAGGTCACAATGCTGGACAGAGACCATGGAAGCCCCAAGTTGGGGCCAAGTCCACATGAGTGTGTGCCTGCCGGATGGCACAGGGTGTCACTTCCATACCAAGCCCCGCCCCCAGGCTGTGAAAGGGGTTGAAGGTCCCATCTGCAAGCAGACCCACTCCACGCTTGCTGTATCTGGCACTAACTCCATCTCGGCGAACCCAGGGAAACAGGATATGCGTATACACACGTGTCTGTGAGGGGACACACAGTCCTGTCCCTCTCCTCCCGAGAGTCTGGGCACGCTGGGCCTGATCCCTTGGGCCCTGGTTGACAGACCCCATTTTATAGCACTTCCTGTCAAGCACACCCTATGAATTAAGTCCTGTACATGAATACATCATGCAGATGAGGAAATAGGCACAGAAATGGTAAGGAGCTAGCCCTAGGTCCCACAGGCCACGATTCTGTGATGTACTTGCCCTCAGCCTTCAGCAAAGCACAACAAACTAACCTTGCCCCCTGACTTGGGGTTGAGGATTGTCGCCTGTCCAGTGAAGAGAGGGCCGGGCCCATCCACCCTCCTACTCTCCAGCCTCACACTGCAGAAACTCATTTCTAAAGGGAACTGGCCTACAGTGGCTGGCTCAGGGTAGCCAGGGGTTGAGCTACCTCAGGCAGCCTGAAACATCAGGGCCACTAGCTGCCGAAAGACAGGCCAGAAAGGGTCTGATCCCAGGGTAGGCAGCTGGCTAGCAGTGGGTAGGGGCTGAGTGAGGCAGGCACAGTCCTGGGCCCTTTCAGCCTGGCCCCTGCAGGAGCTCAGAGCCTCAAAGGAGCCTATGTCCCCACAGCCTGAATGAGGACATGTTCCCCCACGAGGGAATACGCCAGGCTGCCACCCACCAAGGTCTGGGATGGAATACCCATCCCACATCCTACGTCCTCGGAGACCCATACCTATCCCTGCATCCCAGATTCCAACTCCAAGTCAAGGGGACTGGAGGTAGGGGGCAGCCTAGCCCCATCAGGGCCTCCCAAAGGCTGCCAGGAAAGGAACAGCCCCATCTGGAAGCCTTGGTCCCTGCCCACTTCCTTTCCTCTGCAGTCACGGCCCCCACTGTTGCCGCACCCTACCTTGGCCCAGCTGGATCAGCTCCTCCATGCTGTACTTGTCCATGGCTGCCCGCTGGCCAGGCCAAACTACTCCCAGAGCCAGCAGAGAGGAAGGCAAGGCAGGAGGAAAGGAAGGGGTGGGAGACAGAGGGAGGGCTCGTTCATGCCCTGGTCTCCCCACCCAGCTCTGGGAGTAGTGGCTCCTCCTCACAGCCACCCCGCTGTCAGCCAGCGGAGCATAGCTGAAGCCCGGCAGACCAGCAGGTCAAACCAGCCCTTGCAGCTGGGCCCAGGGGAACACGGAACAGGCCCTGGGTCCCCAGCCCATTGGTCTTCCCTACTGAGCCTGCCCCACCCAGCCCACCCCACAGCCTTTCTTTCCCTCCACCGGCCCCACAGCCTGGCCCTGCCACCCCACCCACCCACATTCCAGGCATCCATGTGCCCAGCCCATTCTATGAGGCCACGTGGAAGTAAGAGTCCTGCGCTTCTCCATCCACTGTTGACCTCATTCCCTCAGCCCCCAAACCCAGCAGCCCCTTCCTCCACCTGTCTCCAACCACCAGCTCAGTCCCAGGTACTGTGGTCTCCAGCCTAGGCAAACCAGACACATCCTAACTGCCCACGCCTCTCCCAGCCAGCTGCGCAGAACCCAGGAAATGCAAACCTAACCTTACCACAGGACAGGTAAAAATCTGCAGGGCTTCAGATTTCTTTCAAATAAGCGAGAAAACCCATGTGCAAAGCTAAAGATCATCCCCAAATCTGCCTAGACCTACGGCCCACCCCAAAGAAATGCCATGAAGCTTATAAAAACAGCAAGGAACCTCCAAGTCCTTGCTACCCATCCCCTCCACTTGAGGGGTCAGGATGCACACGCCTATGTCTGTGGGAAAGGGAGAAGTAATTCGCATGTGGGGCCGTTTGTCAGACACACTATCCAGGACGTCCCCTCGGGAGCAGTGTCCTGCGAGCGCACAGGGTGCTTCTCCACACGCTGTGGGTTCACTGTGAATCCCGAGCCAGGCAAAGCATGATTGGGGTATAAATGAAATTCACACGCAAGTAACTTTCCACCAGGGGATCCCCCAGGCCACACCCTATCACATGCTCACCCCTGGCCTCTTGGCAGGGCTGCCCTCCTTATCCTCAAGGCCCTTCTTGATTGCTCACCTACCTCCCATTCTGTTCTCACCCAGTTCACCCCGTAAGCCTGGGGACTCCCTGAGGCAGGGGCTCAGTTTGGGTCTGAACATGCAGTAGACACCCTTGAACTGGGTATGCCCGCTGTTTGGAGGAGGCTCCTGGGGGTGGGGAGTGAGGCTCCTCACACAGACCAGCAGGGCAAAAGAAGCAGTAGGGGTCTGGGGCGGGGTACAGCAGGCACTCCCAGCTGCTTTGCTGTGTTGGTGGCTCCTTGGCCAGGGCCGGGTGGGGCAGCCCATCTGACTGCAGCCATTCTGATGATCACACTCTGACCTGGGCCTTCTGCACTCCCTGCAGCGGGCATGCTATGCAGAAGGACAGGGGCTCCATGGCCCACTAGTTGTTCACTTTTGAAACTCTGAGAAGCCAGCACTTTTAGGTGCCATCAGAACCATTCCAGCCTGTACATGGGCCCATCATTTCCCTGCTACCCACATGCGCCTGGGGACACAGCCCTGGCCCCAAACCACACCCAGCACCCAAGGCCCCATGCTCGGCCCTGCAGGGTCAAGGGGAGGGAGGGGGCCTGTTGAGCGGCCCTGACTCAGCCTGAAGCTGGAGCTCATTTCCTGTTGGAAACTCTGAGCTGCCACTGGCGGTTGTGGCTGGGAAGGGAAGACTGAGTCACCTCCCTCAGCAATGGGGGTGCCCGCCACTCTGCCCACTGAGGCCACACCCAGAACCCCCTCCTGGCCACAGAGCCAAATGCCCGCCCAGCTGGCCCCGCCTGAACACTGACCAGGAAGGAAAGTAAGAAAAGGCGAGGAGAGCTCCCTCCCATTCACCACACCCTTGACCCGAGGACAGAGAGGGTGGTTTCACCCGAGCAGCTCAGGGTGGGCAGGGGTGCTAGGTGGGGAGAAGGACCTATAGGCTGGGACCAGAGCCCAGTCAAGAGCTCTTCATCTCATACCACCTCCTATTTACAGCAAAGGGCCTGTAAATAGGAAGAACCTACTTACAGGGAAGCTGGAAGACAACAACTTGCCCAAGACCATGGGGACATGCAGGAGGTGACCCCTCATGCTACAGCCTCCCTGACCCTGGTCAGGAACCTACTGGCCTAGTGCAGACAGCCCAGTGCCCTGCCCATCAAACAGTTGTGCACGGTTTGGGATCTGAACCTGGGTCTCCTCACTGCCTCCCCTGCTAGCCTCACTCCAGACCCCCTCCCATCCCTTAGACAAGCTCCTCCTTCGGTGCTGCACCACAGAGAAGGGGATGGGGACAAGCCTGCCTTGCACTGGGAGGTCCAGGCTGCCCTGAGCAGGTACCGAAGGCAGTGTGCCCCAGGTACGAATGCACGTGCTTCAGGCACAAGACACATCTGTTCCCCTGGGTCCTGTCAGCACAGGGTCTTGGGGCCAGAGGAGGGGTCTTATCCTATCCTAAGACCTGGTTTCCATCTGATGGGCCCAGCTAGGCCCTGGACCAGGCTCAGCACCTCCACGCCCTGGCCTCGGCCCCACTAGGATTGCTCCTGCTTGGGCTCTGCTCTTCTCCTCCCCTCCCCCACCGCGTTCTCCCACCCTCCTTCTACCCCTATTCCCACCACCATCAAAGACCCCAAGCTGGGGTCACAGGGCAAGCTCACCACTCTGTGCAATACGGAATCTGAGCCATACAACCACATGTCACCCCCACTGTACAGACTCAAGGCTCAGAGGTCAAGCACTTGTCCAGACCACACTTCTGGAAAGGCTCATGCCAGCAGCTCTTCTATATGGCCCCTACTTCTGAGCAGAAGGATTCAGCACAGACAAGCCACTGGGACAGGAAGGAAAGTGGTGAAGGTGAAGACAGTGCTGGAGAGAGAGGCCCAAGCTGGGCCAGTCCAGGTCCCGCCCCCACAGGATTTGCCTAGCCCCCCCCCAAGGTCTTCAACCTAGGAGGAGGAGCCAGTGAATCCAATGGCCAGAGCACCCAGCATCCCTGGGCAGAGAGAGCGCCACCTGCTGGGAGGAGCAAAGCCCCTACCACAGCCCACTAGGCCTAAGCCCAGGCACAGCAGACATCCACAGACCCTTTCCCACCCTTCTCAGCCTACAGCCAGAATGAAGCTGACCTGTGGTTGGGGGAGGCTCTGGGATGGGCGTGGCCAGGGTCCCTGGGGTGGTGGCAGCCACCACAGGAGTTTCAGGTGCCCCTTCCTCAGGCTCCTTCCTGCGGTAGATCCGCCGTTCCTCTCGGGCAGGGTCTTCAGCCAGCAGAGGTGCCCGCTTGGGTGGGCAGCCCAGGGGGCCCTGCACAGACTGCACATGTGGGGTGCGACGTGCAGGCATCACCATGGCAACAGGGCGGCGCACACGCTGCAGAGAGGCTGGCACAATCTCCGGTGGCAGGTGCAAGTACTGGCGTAGGTGAGCGATGCCCTCATTGGTTAGGTACCAGTAGAAGTGGCGCCAGGCAAAGGTCTCCCTTACCAGGCCCCGAGCCCGCAGGGAGGCCATAGCACGGATGACCTGCAGGTTGGTAACGCCAGGCACGTGGGGGTGCAGACTTCGGGGCCTTCGATCCTTCTTGGCCACCATCACCCCCTCACGGAAGAGCACCTCATAGATGGCCCGAAGCTGGTCTAGTGGCATGAGCATGCCAGCCACCATGGCTGCCAGGTTCCAAGTGGTCAGCACAAGGGCAAGGGCAGCAGGTGGGGCACAGCAAGGTGGCCAAAGAGGCTCTCTGAGCACAGGCGGCAACAGTGGCCAGCGGTAGGCAGGCAACCTCCGGCGCTAAACTCAAGGGCACGGGCTCAGCAATGTGGCTCCGGCGCCTGGCTCTGAGGATTCCTGCCGGCAGTGCTGCCTGCCTGAGCCTCCCGCCTGCCCGCCCTCCAGGACGCCTGGGCCGGCCCCCTCTGACTCAGCAGCAGGGGTGGCCCCTCCCACCCACGGAAGACAGGGCCCCTTGCAGAGTTGGGGGCACCTCAAGGCAATGGCCACCCACACCACTCCCCCTGCCCCTCCCAGGTCCCACAGCTCCAGTTTCAGAAATTACATCAGTTTCTAAACTTCTTCAAGGTTCCTAAAACTGAGGGGGAGAAGTGGGAATATAAAACATAAATCCTAGGAAAAAGTGGCGGAATGGGCAGAAAGCAAGAGGCAGAGAAGACAGACCCCGGGTGTGGGCTCCAGGAGTCATAGATTAACAAGGGCCTGGGGAGCAGATTGCTGGGTTGTTTGAATGGGGGAGATTCAGGGTCCAAAAGAGGAATGGGGCCGGGGAAGTAAGCTCAAGGCTTGAGGAAGAGGGCTGAGGGGGAGCAGCAGGGGGCAGCTGCCAGAACACTCGGACAGGCAGTTACAGGAATCACTGGCTGCTGTCCATCAAGGAGGCAGAAGGACAGCGTCTCCATCTCCAAATGCCAAGCCTGGAGACAGCAGTCACCAGATTTAACACTTCCCATTCCAGGCCAAATTAGCAGCAGTCCAGAAACACAAGGTCTACTCCTAGCCCAGGGCGCTCTCAGCAGAGCACACAGTGGGGAACTCTGGGAGGAGCCTTTATCCACCCCCACTCCAGGACAGTTGTCAGAGGCCAGGGACACCCAGCTGCCACAGGGAATCAAAGTCACCAAGTCCCTAGCCACTCCTGGCCTAGTGCCCCTGCTGCCCACGCAGGTCTCATAACCTTAAGTACCTGCCCATGTCTAGGGAGACAGATTCAGGGGAAAGGAAAAGAAAACTGCTTCCGGAGACTCTGGGTGCAGCCCAACCACACCCATCATCACTCCCCGGAGCCCCACCACTAAGGGCCCAATCACAGATATCCTGAGTGCCCCCATCCAACCCAGTACAATTCTCCATGCCATACGGTCAACCCCCACCCGGATCCTTGCTCTCCCCAAGCTGACACACCCATTCCCACCAAGCACTGCGAACCGGGAACTGATTATAAATAGGGCGGGGGTGGGGGATCCTGCGGTGGGAGTCTCTGGCCAGCGGCAGGCAGGCAGCCAACAAAGCAGCGTGTGGGGCGGGTTTATGAGCTGTCACCATGGCACTGTGAGCAGGCTGCAAACAGCACACACCAACACACACAGACTCACACACAGGGCAGCAGAGCCGCGATGGAAACTCTGAAGGTTTGGGCCAACTGTTCCCAGAGACTTCCGGTCAGCCGGCAGCCAGCTCACTGCGGCTAGCTTCACCCTACATCCCACCTCCAGCCAGGCCCAGATGGGAAGAGGACCAGCCCTAAGGAGACAGCCCAGGATCACAGAGTGCTGGCAGAGGTACATGGACAGCAGGCACACCCCTCAAAGGCCACAGCTCCTCAGGACCCTCCACACCCAAGGCGCGGTAGCCTTGGGAACAAGTACCAGCTGGGGTCCAGGACCGCTCTCAGGCCAGGCCAGTCAGCCCTGCGCCCACAGAGGTTTCTATTCTCAGCAGGGCATGGTGGTGCATGCCTGTAATCGCAGCATTCTGTGTGGTTGAGGCAGGAGAATCACAAGTTCGAGCCCACCCTGGGCAAGTTAAGTGACTGAGCGAGATTCTACTTCAAAATAAAAAATAAAAAGGGCTGGGCATTTAGTTTGGTGCAAAGGCCCTGGGTTCAAGCCCCAGTAAAGGAAAAAAAAAGTTTCTACTTTACCAGCCTGTGCCTCCACTAGCTTCCTGCAATCCCCACCCCACCACCACACAATCCTTCTTGCACTCATCCCACCCCCACCCAAAATACCCACACCATCATCCTGGCACGCTTTATTAACCCATCACCCTCAAATTTCCGAGCCCCCCAACAAACCAACCCATGGTCCCCACGGTGTCCCCAGATGATCCCAAGCCACACACAATGGCCCTTATCCCTTGGGCCTATGCTGCTTCTATACAGGCCTACATGGGTGCCCTGCGGGACCCTACACAGCTGTAAACCCGTCCAGTCTCCTCACCTCCGGCTTCTGAGCAAGGGGGGCGGGTCTGTGGGAATTCCCCCTCCCACCAGCAGAAGCACAGCCGCATGGGGCAGCAGGGAGGAGCCTGGAGCCAAGTGTGTACACGTGCGCTGGCATACACGAGTACGCGTGCACACGCACACACACCCCATGTGGGTCCAGGTATTCCCCAAGTCCCTGGGCTTGGAGGTCGTCCCCCCACCCGTCTTTGACCCCCCCTGCCGGGTTGCAGCCCTGGCAGCTGATGCATCCAGACGGCCTGGGAGGTGTGCTGGCTGGCCCTTCTCCCCACCCCTTCCAAAACCCCCCGAGTTTCCCGGGCAACCAGTCTGAGCCTTTGGGCAGCCCCCACCCCACCCCCACCAGGACAAAGCGCCGCAGTGTGGCCTTGCCCGGGGCCAGCCCGCCAGGCGCCTCTGCACAGTGATCTAGGCTGCAGGGCGCAGACTGGGGCGGGGGAGGAAGGGGCTGTGGCTGCAGGGCTGAGCTCTCACTGCGTCCTTGCCCCGCCACCACCTTGCCGTGCCACCACGGTAGCCCGCTCCAGGCACTTTACTGCAGAGCTGCAGGGTGCCGCAGCCACCGCACCCGCCCCCCGCGCGCCAGTCAGGAGGACCCCTGCCCCTGGGGGAGCCCTGGCAAGACAGGAGCCTGGGGTCTCCTGCGCCTCCAGCTCAGCGTTGCCCCCCACCCGACCCTCCCCCAGCCCGACCCTCCCCGAGCTGTGCAGCCTCAGAGCTTGCAGACCCCGAAAGCTGCTGCACCCTGCCAGAGGTCACTGAGTGGCCTGAACCGGCCCTGACTGCACCTTTGAGGGAGCTGATCTCGTGCTGGATGGCTCTTGAGGGGTCCATGTCTCAGTCTGGGACTGAGTGCGGCGTTACAGTCCCAGCAGAATCCAGCCCCGCACCGCACTGCCCAGGCCAGCACCGCAGCCTGGAGGAGGGGCCAGGAGGTGCAGGGCGGGACTTGCCGGCCAGAGGCGGGGCTTCTGCTGATCAATGCTCCCGGACGTGGTAGCACCGGGCGCATGCTCCAGCCCTGCGCCACCCACACACACACAGCTCTCCCTATCCTGTAGCGGTGGTCCTGTGAACCTGCTAACTCTTGCAGACTGCCCTGCCAGGATACCGCAGCCAGGCACGTCTGGACTGCCTGCCCAACAGTTCCTAGCCTCTGCCTCCTCAACCATACTTGAATAGCCTGCAGGATGCACCTGTACAGAGCCTGGCCGTGGCCTTGAAGCTCTAGCCACTCACTCCCTGCAGGAGACAACCACTAGTCCAGGCTCTAACCTCCTCAGGCAGCACCCCTTGGGAGTGGAACTAGAGAGCTGCCTGCAATCACGCCCAAGACCTTGTATTGGCTCGATTCATCCAGGAGAAGCAGCAGCTGTGCCTTATCTGGGCCCTGTCCTCTGCCCATAACCTGGCTCATCCCACCCATCGCTATGGGTCAAGATGCTTCTATGTCCCGGCAGGGCCCAGCCTTGGCTTCTCCCAGCTGGTCTGCTCTTGGAATGCTCTTAGCAGCCTAGCTCTGCAGGAGTCCCACAATCCAATGTACAGTGTTCCAGGCCAAAACCCTGGGGTCCTCACCCCTCAAAGCCAGCCCCACAGCACCTACTGGGTCCGTCTATGCATCCATCAGCTTGTCACTATCTCCACTTCCACCGCGATGACCTACAGCTCCTTGAAGGACCCCAACTCCACAACAATGAGGATGACAACAGCAGATGCTCTGGTCCCACTATCATAGGCAGCTAAGTTAGATGGAAATTAACAGTCAGAGAGGGACTGGGCCCTGGAGGGGAGTCAGTGCAGAAGGTGAAGACACATCAACACTGTGGCTGGAGGCAAATCTGAACAGGGCCAGGCCTCAAGGTGGAGATGGATAGCCACAAACCTCCTTAGAGATAAAGAGCAATTTGAGATTATATTGTAATTAGCACCACCTGGTCCAGTAAGCCTAGCTAGGCATCAGATGCACAGGTGAGTGACCAGAATTTTTGGACCCAGACTCCTACCCCTTTCTAGGAATGCTTTTGTTCTTTCCATATACCCTTGCTACATGCTTCGTTCCTTACTGGACCAATATTAGCTAAGCGACTACACTTGTAATCCCACACGTTGACCCATGTCATACCCACATTGTGATCTTGCTGTATAAAACACTCTTGACAAAGAGCCTCAGTGGCCACCCACTCAGGATCCCTCCTGAAAATCCAGGAGCTCTTCTTCTTTTTTTTTTTTTTTCTGGTACCGGGAATCAAACTCACGACCTTGCGCTTGCCAGGCAGGCGCTGTGCCGCTGAGCTAAATCCCCAGCCCCTGGAGCTCTTCTTCTTAATATTATTTGCAATAAAACTCTCTTAACCTCCTCCTTTGGTTTACAACTTCATCCCTCAATGTTGTGAGAACACCAACGCAGCACATTGGACATCTAATGGTTGGCAGTTATTTTCAGGGTACTGCACCACCGCCTGCCTCCTGCGGAGAATGTCCAAGCTGGTAGAGTGAGGTCAGCTCTACCTCTCTCTGTATGCCACAGGAAATCATAAAAGAATACATGGGCTATACCCACACTACAGGAATGTACCCTGGGCCCCCTGTGCTAAGGGGCAATGGGGGACAGAGGTGGTCTCTACAAGATGTGGCCAGCTGCCTCAACTCCTACCAGACTCAAGCGCACATCCACCTGCTATCCTCTCCCAGGTTCACCTCTTGGCCTCTCAGGTCCACACTGTACCAGGCTGGGCCACCCCCTTCAGAGCCCACCCTTGATGTAGGCAGGCTTGCTGTGTACCAGGCTGAGGCTGTGGTGGCAGACGTGATGATGACACAGAATGACAGGCAAAGAAGCCAGGTGGCAGCCCCACCTGGGCTCTAGACCCGCAGGAC